TCTCAACCTGCTGAACATGTGTCTGGTGCAACCTAATTGAATGCTTGGCCAGGCAAAGTGCAGTTGGAGGGGCAAAGGACCAAGGGAGGGGAGCTGCGGCCATTGTAAATAGAAGCTACATATCTGGAATGGGACTGATGTGACTGTGGGTTGGATTTGTTTCCCATTGGTCTCTGTATTTGATAACATGTAGACGCAAATATGAGGTGTTTGAGGGCATCCAATTCTGATGGTTCTGCATCCTCAACAAGTCCAACCACTTCTCTTGGGCGGCATTCTTGAAAACCAGACTTTTTCCACAATTACGGAGTGTAAAAGATGCAACTCTTCACTGAATTCTCTTACTTAGACGGGCAGACACCGGCAGTTAAGCCTAGACTTTCTAGAACCAAAGGTTGATTCATTTCAAGACTAGACGGGAGAGCGGAAAACTCTCTGATCAGTGTCTACAATCATGAGAGAGAAAACAGAAGATAACTGAAAAGGGAAAAACACTTTACCTAGATGAGAGAGCGGAAAACTCTGCCGTCTAGATTGTGAGAGCTGAAGGGAACTAAGTACTCTCACTTGCTTATGTAATATTGTGTGTTTACAGTTCTTGTGAAACCCAAAATGTGAGGGGATTTCACATGGAGGCCCCAGCCAAGGCCAAGCTTTCACGCCAGCCACTGCAAAGCATGCTAGTGCTAACATTGGTGTTGCATTGCTTCCTCAGAATTTGAGTTTTATGCTGTCAATGGAAAAGATCATTAATTTTACCCGTGCAACAAAGGTCTGGAAGAACGTGAGTTCATTGTAACTGCTTAAGGAGGAATGAAGGCTATCACATAGAGTTTTTGAAGTAGCAACAAGTAAAGAGGTGAAGACAACATGCACCATGGCTTCTTTGAATTTGGGTCTGATCTTAGAAAAGCCTCCAGCAACACGTAGAAAGATAGATTCACAATAAGGCAGCGGTGGCCAAGTAGAAGGGTCTTGGGAGGTCAGATTCTGTAGTTTGCTTGTGTTTGAATAAGAAGGGTTGCCAAGGTAGCCAGTGGGAATCTGCAATATTTCAGGAACTATTTGGACAAAAACAGCTTTGCAAAGGTACAATTGGTCAATATCTCAAGTCCCATGTTTTACCAACCATGGTTACCCACTTGTTCACCCCAAGTCCATAACAAGAAAATTGCATACCACATTGAAACTCTTCTTCATTACTATCAGGATCATCAGGAAGTGAATCTATAATCTTCTGAAGGTTTTTGAGCATGGCCTCTGTCCTCTGGGAGCCAAGCAGGGGGGTGCAAGGCAGCAGAGGTGGCGGAGAGATGGAGTCTGGGCTGAGCAAAGGAGGATGAGGAAGATTACCAGACAAAGAGGTGGAAACATGATGGGGATGAGTTAGAAGTAATAGCAATGGGTGCAACTTAGGGCACGTGCCCTTCACGCTTCATGTCTGTGCATTCCTCAGCTAGACTGGTCCACCTGTGACCGTGGACTGAGTTGGCTTCTCCTGCGGGACAGCAAACAGAAAACTATATCTCTCAAAATACCATGAGAGAGTTTAGTAGGTAGATTTTCAGTGTCTTTCTCTTGCCTTTTCAACTAGCCAACCGTCTTCTTCTTTGCCTTTTGACTTGAGTAGGCATTCAATCCCCCAACAACGGCACTGTTCTTGCTGCTGCCACGGTTGCCTCCCATCAAGTGATCAACTCACACCTGGAGGCTCAAGAACCTCAAAGAGCCCTTGGCAACATTGAAGCTCTTTTGGAAAGGATGGAGGTGCGACTCAACGGAAGGTCTGTGCTCAGGGAGGAGAGAATTATAACACACATTGATGAAACGTCTCAGGCAATGGAGCAGCTCCTCACAGCACAAATTGAGGCAAAGACTACACTCGTGGAGGAGAGGATAATGGCACACTGGGATGAAAGGTTTGAGGAGGTGAATGCAACAATGGCAGGGATCTAAGCCTCCCAAAACACGTTAACTGAATCTCTAAATCAGCTCACCAACACCATCAACAACATCAACGGGCTCCTCAATGCAGCTGGCCTTGTTTTCTGTGGTGCTGGTTGCCCCCATCCTCTTCCATAGCTCACTTTTTTCCAAGCGTTTTTGACTGCAACACTCAACTTTCCCTCTGAGCCCATCCTCACCAGTTTCAGACTCACTTTCCCTTCACTAACCCTATTCTGTCCACAAGTCTTATACTTCTTCCCATCCTTACATTCCTCTATGTTCCATCTCCAATCACTTCCATTCTTTCTAGCAACTCCCAGAAGTATTTAGACTGCCAATCCATCACAACCCTGAGGTATTTCTTTTAACTGGATGTGGGTTTTTCATGAATTTTTTAGAAGCTATGTACACAACAGAGTGACAGGTTAGGCAGAAGAAGAAAGATGAAAATGTTCAACAGACAAGATTGGTAATTTGCACAATGAAAAGGAAGTGAAAAGAGAAACAAGACAGCGAGAAAGAGGGAATGGAAAGAAAGAGAAAAAAAAGAAAAGAGGCAGAGCCACCGTATCATGATTAAGATTCAATTTGCGAGTGGACCAATTTATCTTCTGCAATGGGCTGTTTGAAGAGTTGTTTGGATATTATACAAGTAAGATCACCAATCCAAAAAAAGAAAAGAAAAAGAAAACTCACACTCCTGCAATTCCAACAGGACCTCCCGCAACAGCGCCATGATCTTCCACAACATTGCCATGATCTTCCACAACATCTTCAGGGCAGCCAGAAAGAGCACCAAAAACAGCATGCTGTCTGGAATGAGGAAACAAAGAAATGCCATCAGATTATCAACTTTTCCAAGTAAAATTGAATGAAGACTGACAAGGTTTTTTGGAGAGTCTCTCAAAAAAGATGTCCAATGCTTGTTGGATGTGAGATATTGTGTCTGTGGTAAAAGGTTGGAGGGAAGTATTTGCTAGTTGGTGACAGTGTGGTTATATACACAAATGAGATGATGGAAATCCAAAGAACCAACCCAAGAGACAGTTGCCAAGGACGGTGTAAGACTCAAAAGTGGTTGTGAAAACCCTTTTGCTGAATGGAGAAGGGGATGGTGGAGTTGCAAGCTCTGCCCTTCTATGCTATCAGAACAACAAGACCACCAAGCTCAGCTTGGCAGTTTATATACCGTGATAGAGGATAGTTCGGAATGAAGCTGTCGACTGATTCGTATAATGGTTCAAGTTGATGGTGATTGTTGATGATGAGGTTGTTGTTGGTAGAAGTGGTGATGATGATTGATGTCGAGGTTGAGGCTTGAAAGCAGGTCCTTGAGGTTGTTGGTATATATAGTTAAAAAAGAGGTGATTTGGAACCAAAGAGCTGGGCACTGGCAACAATGTAACAGATCCAATCCCCAGATTGGTATTTATCGGGGATTGGATTGAAATGTCACCCGATACCGTGTATCGGAATCGGATTGATCTCCGCTCCGATCCCAATTTATCAGCGGATCAGGATCAGCTGGAGTGATCCAATCCAAGCCGCGTGGGAACTTGGTATTGGTATTGCCCCAGCCGATCCGATCAAACCCAGATATTGTATCTGTATCAGGGGGTTTAATCCCCGTTTGGGTCGGTCGTCATTTCCGACCGACCCTTGGAGTGGACTTGCCACTTACCACTTGCAAGTACTGACAGTGACACTATCAGTACTACTACCACCCACCCCATCACCCTGTCGCCAACTGAAAACACCCCACCACCACCCTGTTGCATTGACCCTCCTCGGAGTAGGACTTTCACTACCAGGACCAGCCTCCCTCTCCTCAGTTGTTGGTTAGCTTGTCACCCGGCAACCTTGAGTCAAAAGTTCAACGGTACACTGGTCGGTGTACCGCCGAATCAACCTAACCAAACGGTACCGT